AGGGCACATACCTGGGTTGCAGGCTCAATCCCTGGCCCTGGTAGGCGGGTGAGGGAGGCAATCAATCAATGTGTCTATCTCTGCCTCTCCCCATCCCTTCCACTCTCCAAAAATCAATGGAAAAATATCCTCTGGTGAGGATATTTTTCATCTGGAACATATATCTACCATTGTACATATTCATTATTATATAATAAATGAGTTAATAAAAGAATCAATAGATGAACAACTTCAGGTGACAATGAAAATAGCAGAGCCCAGAGAGGAGGGGCCTGGGCAGAGTGGGGTGAAGGAGACCCAGCCCAGACTTTCACCCCTCGTGCTCTTGAAATTCAGGAGCCCCTGACACCAACCCCTCCTCCATGGACCCTGGGTCCCCAGCTGTTGAGAACATGGGATCTCTCAGCTATAGGGGAATAAGCTCATGGGGTCTTGATTCTCAGGCTGAACAGAGAACACATAGCCCTTAGTTATTTCTAAATAGAGACCATTTCTACACTCATCCTCAGTTCTTGGGCACAGCTAACTCTGATCAAGGGGACTCAGAGCAGGTGCTGAGTTCAGACATCATGGGGATGCTGATGTCAAGGGGAGGTGGGAGTCCAGGCTGAACATCAAAATCCTGGAGATTAGGGTCTGCCTTGACCTTTGTGACCTTTGAATCTACATTTTTGCAGCCTCTACACCCCAAGACTACACAGTGGGGAATCTCCTCCAGATGGGCGTGGCTGGATTGGTCCTGGTGGTGCTCGTGGTGCTGCTATTTCAGGCTCAAAACGACAACAAAAGGGCCCTGGATGCAGCCAGATGTGAACACAGGGGAACGGTGCATCACTCAGAGTGGGTGAGCCTTGGAGCCCATCTGATGACCCCAGGAGGTGCTGAAAGAGAATGTGGACTACAGTTGGGGGAACTCTCTGCTGAGAATGTCCAGGAGGGAAGACGTGGTAGGTGAGGTATGGGTGCAGGAGAACGTGGGCCATGTCCCTGTAGAGGACGCCCCCTCCACCCACCTGGTGTGCTGTCCCTCCCTCCCTGTCCTCACTCACTCTCCTCCACTGCCCTTCTGTTCTCACCCTGTGACATGAGGGTCTGCCCACATGGCTGGTTTGGATTCACATCTATGCACCCCTTCATGCTGGGCCACATCCATCCCAACAAAATGAGGTGTCTTCACAACCCTGTGATTTTTTAAACTATAAAGAACAAAGGACGGGTACCTGGTACATTGTGAGCGAATGTCAAAATAATTCAGCTCAGTGATAGAAAGCGGACACAAAAGATCAGGTTTTGTGTGATTCCATTTATGTGACATGTCCAGGAAGAGGAAACCCCTAGAAATAGAAGTTAGATTGGTTTGTCAGGGCTGACCAGCAGGGCAGATGGGAGATGGACTGCTTGGTGTTGTTTGCTTTTGTGTGTGGGGATGAGGAGCTTAAAAACTTATTGAAACTAGATAGACTGTTTGAGACAGTGTATTTACTGTATTTACTCATTGAGACATTGTGTATTTACTGTATTCTTGTGATTTTCATATTTTAAAAGGCTCAATTGTATGTTATGTGACTTTGCTTTAATAAAAATAAATGCAAGTGAAACACGCATGGTTCCCTACAGCTCCCTTATACCTTGGAGGTTGCCCCACTGGTGTCCATGGAGTTTTATGGAAACGGGACTCCCACTGGGTCAGAGGTGCCCTAAGTGCCTTAGTGCTTAGGGAACAACCTACTCATGAAATTTCCACCTTCACTCCTGACTGGGACTGAGTCTAGGATCCATGATGGGACCCAACATCCCTGCATCCTTTTTGTCTGCACTCATCTGCCATTCAACCAAGGATGCGCTACAGCTTCTGATTTACCTTGTAGGCTTGGGGGACACACATGTGACTTCCAAACAGCCCTTCCCACCACACGTCTCTCATACACATGCCTTCATCAGGTCAGAAAATGACACCAGATTTTCCAGCCAGCGTGGCTCAGTGGTTGAGAGATGACATATGAGCCAAGAGGTCATGCTTCGATTCCTGGTCAAGGGCACATGCCTGGGTTGTGGGCTCCATCCCCAATGTGTGGATTGCAGGAGGCGCCTGATCAATGATTCTCTCTCATCATTGATGTTTCTATCTCTCCCTCTCCCTTCCTCTCTGAAATCAATAAAAAATATTTTTAAAAAAGATAGAAAATAACACGAGATTGGGGCCCTTCATGTCGCAGGCACTGCCGATCCTCATAACAACCTCAGAGGTGAGGTTTCACAATGTTGCCCAACAGGTGAAGAGGT